AATAAAAGATATGCTTCTAACTCCAGTTCGGCAGACCGAAACTATGTTTCGGTCGACTAATTTAAAAATTTCGGCAGACTGAAACTAAAGCTTCATCTATTTCGGTCGACCGAAATAAAGAAATCAATTTCCTTTCAAAAGCCATTTCAGTCCACCGATGAAGACATGCGGTCGACCGATTCTTCGGGGGCCTAGATACAAACAGGGTCAAATTCGATTTAAATGACCCGCGAACGTTATATCTCCTCACAAACCCATTAACCCTCTCTCTGTATCTCTCCAAAGGTGATTGCGAATCTCTCACTTCTCTCCTCCTCATATTCAAGGTAAGTCTCACTTCTCCTTCCTCGAATCAATCACTTCTACATCAGTTTTTCTTTCTCGTGATTTTTGATCTCTGTTGCATCATCCTAGGTTAGATTTGTTGCACTCAACCATTGTTATCTTGTCATCTATCTCACCAAATCTCTCATCTACTAAAAAGAACTCATGGCTTCCCGAAAGAATCCTTCTAAAACTAATAGAAACCCAGAAAAATACACTAAGCACTCTCATGATATGGATGCTGGAGGATCTAATCAACCAAACCCTGAGCATTCTGACTCATATCCCACTCCAAACATGTGTTTCTTCCGAGAACCTGAGTTCAAGGAAGTCTATGAAACCCAATTCCTCCATAAGATAGTTGAAAAAAGGAAGTTTTTTGACGATAGTGAAAGTGAAGCCTTGATCCAACACACATACTCTTTGTTTGCTGCTATTGGGTTGGGTGAATTTGTGTCACTAAAAGTCCCTTTCTATCCCAAGCTTGTTAGACTGTTTTACACCCATCTAGAGAAAGAACTAGGGAACAACGCTTACGATTCCTTTGTGGTAAGCTCTCATATTCACCTTACCGTGTCCAGTTTGCGACGCATTCTCAAACTTGCTTACGGTGATATTACCTATTTTATATCCTATAATTGGTATCATGTAGAAGAGTTTGATCCTCTACAAGCAGTCCAACAAATGAGTCAATTCCCTACTGAAAACATTAACAAGATTTTAGCAAGTCGGTTAACTGACCAAGCCCGTCTCATCTATCATGTTATCATCTATACCATCCTTCCAAAATCCGGCGGACGCTCGGATGTGTCGTTTATTAAAGCCTTTCTCATATGGTGTGTCCTAAACAAAAAACAGTTTGATCTCTCCTTCATCATCTTTCACCACATGCAAGATTGCATTAAAAAGGAGAAAACACACTTCTTCTATGCCATGCCTCTTACCCTCATCTGCAGAGCATACAAGGTGCGAATAGAAGGAGAGGACAAAAAGGAGCTTACTAACCTCTACAGATTTGACAGAGACTTGCTAACTCAAATGGGTCTAAAAAAATCCGAAGCCAACATTTGGTATGACCCGAAGTTTGGAGTTTGACCAAATGAAGGCCAAGACATTGTCATGGCTGAGCACCAAGCAGGAAGTACTGAAGAGGGTGGTGATGGAGATAGAGAAGAGGAAGTAGAGTTAGAAGAAGAAAAAGAAGAAGATGAAGGGCAACAAGAAGCCACTACTGTTCCTCTATCAGAAAAAGCAATCCCTTCATGAGCTGTTATTAGAAAACATTGCTCTTTCTAAAGAGCAAATTGCCCTTGGCAAAAAAAACAAGGAACACATTCTTGAGTTGCGTGAACAACTTGAAGAAGTAGCCAATGAAGTCGATCTTGTGAAGCGCGATCTTGCCGACCTCCGAATCACTGCACTTCTTCATTTCTGATGCTCTCAACCCCCCTACCTTTTTGATACATGACAAAGGGGGAGAATGATGTTAATGTAGGTTGTGACTGAGATTGTAAGTTGTAGGTTGTTAATTGTTAAGGTTTTGGTCAAACATATAGTGAAGATGTGAATAGGGTAGTGAAATGGTAAAGATGTTTTGATGTGATCTTTGACTTAACTGTACTTTGAAATTCTTGAAATCAAATGGAAATACATGTTTTTGGTATTTATGAATTGCATGCTTTCAAATACATTGTCTTGATTTTTTTTTTTATATATATGCATATATGCCTTAAATATGTCTTGCTCATAATGTTTAGATGAATGCACAAAGAAATAGGGAGATTTGTAAATCTCTTATATGTATATCCTCACTTTTAAAACCATGCACATTGATAGGGGGAGAATTGTTCACATTTTTATTATTATATTTATTCTCATTTAACGAACATATCAACGAATTATCATCATCAAAAAGGGGGAGATTGTTGACCTTGAATCTAATGATTTTGATCATCGTAATTCATTAATGATGTTCTATGTGCACTAATGTCTACCTTGAGCAAATTACAGATTAAAAGTATTCATCAAGTCGAGACATTACAATAGAAAAGCAAAAATGAAGAAGCAACACAAAGGCATAAGAAAAGGACAAAGGAATCAAGACTCAAAGACAAGTCATCAACATCTTATCAAATGAGGTTAAGTAGGATGGTGAGTTTTTTAGGAAACTTTGTTAAAGCATGTATGCAAATTTTGAAGCTCACATTTTCATAATCATATATAGAAACTCATTTAGGTTTAAGGATCATTGGACCAAGTTTAAACATCATCAAAACATGCTCCTGCAATATAAATTCCATTTTGGTCCATTTTGGTCGACCAAAATGGAAGGTTAATCTAAACCGGTCTACCGATTCTATCAAAAAGCTTGGATCAAAATTTCTAGGTAATATCGGTCTACCGAAACTCAGGACCATTATATTTCGGTCTACCGAACTTAGCAAATTAAAGAACATCACTTGAGTTTCAGACGACCGAAACTAAAGAGGCAAGTGAATCAGCAGAGCCGATTCTCACAGAATGTTTTAGAACAAAAGAGGAAGGAGTTTCGGTCGACCGAAACAAAAGAAGCTTTTTCATCGGTCTATCGAACCAAGGCTAATGGCCAACCTTTAACCAATTCAGTCGACCGAACCTCAAGAGTGATTTATTTCGGACAACTGAACCTGCGAGAATTCAAATTTCAAACGGCTATTTTTCCTCGAAGTGTGTGTCCAACAACTAGAATACCTATCAGATACTTCTGAAAGTCTATATAATGACTTATTGACTTCATAAAAGATCATTGCATTCATTGAGAAAGATATTCTTGCAATCATAAAGCCTTTCATCATCATATACACGCTTCATATCATAAAAGAGTATTGAGCTTCAATTTATTGATACATACTCTAGAGTGAGCTAAATCTTTTACTTTAGATCTAAGAGAGATCATCTTGTACTTCATCAATCTTGTTCAAATCTTGTAATAGCTGGTGTGGCCCAAGAAAGACTAAGAGAATGTGTTTTTCTTAGCACTTAGAAGGAAGGAAGAGTTTCTTGTAAAAGGTTTGCTCTCCACCTGCAAGGAGAAGCCATAGTGAATTGGGAAGTCTCAAGAGGGGTCTTGAGCCAAGGAGTAGGAGTTTCCGAACCTCGCCAAAATCGATGAGTATATGTTTGCAATATCTATCTTTATCTCTTACATTTATTGCTTCATATTTTGTTTGATAAATATTGTCTTTTGAAGTTTAAAATTCAGATTACTTTCTTCAATATTTATCAAGGAAGTTAAGCTTTGTTCTAGTTAGTTAATTAAAACTAAAAATTGACCTTAGTTTGCTTAAACTCTATTCACCCCCCTCCCCTCCCTTTTAGAGTTTATACTTGGGCAATACATATGTACAAAACCCTAAATAAAAACATTTAATTCAACACTTACGTTAAACAAATAAAACAATTTAATCCCACAAAACAATTAATTGAATTTCCACATAAGCACACATTAATGAAAACAAATAAAGCAATTAAATAATTAAACAAAACAATTACACAAATAAGCACATAAATCAATTAAATAATTAAACGATTAAACAAATGAACAAATAATGACATAAAAATGCAATAAAACAGTTAATTAAATTACCGAGACTATCCTTTTAAAATTAGGGGTATTACATTCTTCCCCCCTAACAAAAGGAATTTTGTCCTCATAATTCGCTCTTACCTTCTTCCAATATTTCAGGAAACTAAGAGCGAATGACATCCTCCCGTTCCCAAGTAGATTCAGTCTCATTGTGGTGATTCCACTGAACACGAACTAAAGGGATAACTTTGTTACGAAGAATTTGATCTCGACGGTTGACAATACGACACAGTGGCTCCAAATATGTTGCATCTGGCTATAACTCAATCTCCCCAACATCGATATGCTGGTAGCAATCCTTGTCTCGTAGAAATTTTTGCAATCGGAAAAGTGATGAATGTAAAAAATAAATAAATCTATGGAATTATTTGCTCCAGATTTAGAGTTCATTTGGATAACATTAGTTATATAGGATATCAATGAATTATGAGTTTTTTCTTTTTTATTAGTTCCAAATTTATTTTAATTTATTTTTATTAGACACCCAAAATAATTGTGAACTATACATATGAAACAATGTGTGTAAGGTTGCGTGTGTTAGAAAGAGGCATGAGAGATAGGAGTGGGTACATGAGAGTAATTAATGAGAGTAAAATAGTTATTTTAGATTGTTGATATTTAGGAATAAAAATTATTAAAAGTATAGGGACAAATTTGTCATTTAGTCAATGAGAGTAATTAATGAGGGTAAAATAGTCATTTTAGATAGTTAATATTTTGGAATAAAAATTATTAAAAGTTTAGGGATAGATTTGTCTTTTATTACGTTTTTAATAGTGTCAATGACGAAAAAATAAAATTGGACCAAAGCGATAATAATTTTTGAAAGGTGTTTCAATATGATATTTGGTCAAAACGGAAGAGATTTCAATAAAATTAATCAAAAAATAAAAAGTAACTTAATTTATTTTTATTGTAAAAAAAGTATTTATAATTTATGATTTTGATTTTTTGATTTTTGATTTTTATTTTCAAAAAAATATGTATGATTTTTATTTCTTTGCCTTTTGAATTTTTTTTTCTCTTTACAATTTGTCAACATATATATATAAGAAACAAAAAAATTTAAAAATAGTATTTTATTTATCACAAACAAACAATAAGAAAAAAAAGAACTGATATTGGGTGCTCCATTTCCTTCCTCTATCCAAATGAAACTATAAAAGGACATTATCAGAGTTGGATTCTGGTTGTCAAATCTCTCTCTACCAAAATGAAAGCCATTAAACAACATTAGCAAATGGAAGACAATAGCACTAAACACCAAAAAGGAAAAAAAGAATTTGATTGAGTCATGCATTTATATGGAGGGCAATTATGATATTAAAAATATAATAACTAAACTTAGGGTGATGTGGGATTCTCTTGTAATTTCATTTTAGGATGGAGGGTTAGAGGATAATTGTGGAGATACCATCTCCTCGTGAAAAATACGTTTTACTCGTTATAATCATTAAACTTTTTCATTACTAAATTTATTCCACAAATGCTCCATGAGATTTTTCCTGAGATCCCCATTGTTTTTTGCACTTCAGCATCAAGGTACAAAATACTATTACCTATAACACTTCATTCCTTCTAAAAAATGTCAGTTTTGAATTACAAAATCGTTAATCACGAAAGATAACGCATCAAACTACTTGAAAAGACGATGGATAGGGAAGGCTGATGTAACCAGATTTGAACACAGCTCTGTGAACACGCTTCCATTCTAAAGGACTTTTAAGAAAATTTTAGAAACAATGTTTAGTTGAAGTATATATATTAGGAGTTGTCTAATAACTTTTAGTAATAATGGTAGTTTACATAATTATTGAAAAACTTGTTGATTCATAAAACAAATTTGTAATAAGACAATTATATATATTTATTCTTATATTTTAGTTCAAAGATTCGAAATCGTGCAGATAATTTTTGACTCTCTTGTTATCCCACCAATTAAGCTTCGCTATCGTTAAATGATCTCACTAACGCGCATCCAGGCTTCAGCAACAGTCGAACAAAGTTCAAGCAAACTCACGCCTGTTGAGTTATCAGATGCTAGTCCAAAACATTGAGGACCATGCAAACAAGCAAAAGATCCTAGTCAACTCCTGAATGTCAAACTTCAGACTCCAATGCCAAAAGTATCTTCATTCTTGGACCCTGAAACAGTATAATTAACGATCAAAAGGGGACATAAAATGAGCAAGAAGCTACAAATAGGAGAGAAACACTACATATGGTAGCCTGAGTCTTCAGTTTTACCTTTGGTAATCCTATAGACTTGAGATCCTCATCACCCATGTGTCCAAGAATGGCCATATCAATCTGTAGAAAAAGCATGTGTCATTGATGGAATTTCTTAAGGCAATGATTCAAATCCAAAACCAGCTCATAAAATTGTAGTACACAAATTAAACTTTAAAACTCACATACTTCCTCATCTTTGAATGTAGTAGAATATTTTTCAAGACCTAGCCGCTGTTAAAAACCATCCACCAATTCAGCCTGCAACAAATATGTATCACTTCTTAGAACCAAAAAAAAAAAACTAATATTATGTTTTAGTCCCCAATCCCCATTATTTATATTTAAATTTTGGGTTTAATTCAGTTTTGTTGAATCTTCAAAAAGACCCCACACATTTGCAAAAATTCAATCAAACTCCCTACTTTTTCTGACACACATTAGCCTCCCCCTCGGTCAACGGTCAAAGCTGGTCAGAGACACTTTTTGCTGACATCATAAAAAAGGTAAACGATAATGCCCAAATTGCCCTCCAATGATCATGTTTGGCTAAATTGTATATATCACATTTAATTTGGATATGGAATTACTCATAATTTGGAATAACACTATGCTTGTAACCAAACAGGGTTATACTATATAATATATATATATATACATCCATCTTCTTCACTGACGACGGCGCCCAATCCCCATGCTCTACCCCTTTCAGTGCCGGGAACAAATGATTCTCAATGGCTCTGGTTTAGATGAGTGGATCAGATCAGATCCTCTATGGGCACGAGCGTGGTTTGCTCATTATGACTTTGCTCGCCGGAGGTGCTAATGGCTCTACTGCCAGGCATAAGATTTCAGCGACGGTGGAGTTGGTGGCAAAGACTAATTCGACGATTGTGAATTCGTTTCAAAAGATTTCTCTCTCCTAGTTCTTCCACCCCTCTACTCTCTCTATTTTTCTATCTCCCTTCTCTGCACAATTCTCTTTGTGGTGTGGTGAAGAACTGTGTTCTCAGCCAAAAGAGAAAATAAATATTATGAGGCGTCATTCTTGGCGGCGGGGCGGACAAATCAGAGAACAACACTTGGAATGTGAGAACAGATTATCGGTGTGGCTGAATATATGGGCAAGGAACATGGTGGACACCGATGAAAAGCAAGGACATAACTGCAAGTACTGAACGGCGGAGAACAAAAAATCGGGCGGACGGCGAGTAATGAACGGAACTAAGCATGATGGTGGCTGCGGCGCGCGACAAGACACGACGTAGTGGTGATATGGTGACTAGGCAACTAGGTACGCTCTCATACGGTATTGGGACTAGGGAAAAGAACAATTTGACTGAATGTTTAGTTCAAGAGATAGGGTAAGCTCTGGTGGGAGTTTGGTGTTTGGTTAACCTTATTGGGGATAACGACAAAAAGGGCAAATTAGTCATGCCACTCATTTATTTGGCTTTGTCAGCCGACAATGTACAGGGGTCTGAATGAATTTTTGCAAATGTAGGAAGGTCGCCTTGAAGTATCGAAAAATCACAGGAGGTGTAAATGAATTAAACCCTTAAATTTTTTAAAAAATCTTCAGCTAAGATGATGCTTAATGTACATCCAGTAAACCCCAACAAGGATAAAAAAATAAAAATAAAAAAAATAAAAAAAAAAATTGGCCTCCTTCAAAGTTCAACCCTAACAGGTGACCAACCAACATAAGTTTAGGAAATCGGTATGATTAAGCCAATAAATTGACTATTTCCATTAAGACATAAGTATCAAGGAAAAAAAATAGAGTGACCTTCTAACTGGAGAGTCAAAAGAAAGTCAGCTCTTAAATATTTTTTCAAACAGTTTAAAAGCAAGAAAAAGTAAAAAATAAAATATAAAATATATATATATATATATATATAAAGGAAAGAAAGAAAGATAAAAAATAATTTTTAATTTTTTTTGATAAGTAAAAAAACTGTGTTCGGAAATTCAGAAGTCCAGAAATCCAGAAACTTACGAAATTCAGAAATCCAGAAATTCAGACACGAATTCAGAAGTCCAGAAATTCAAACACACAAATTCAGAGTCCAGAAATCCAGAGACTCAGAAGTCCAGAAGGTTTAGAAACAGAGGGCCAGAAATCCCGAGGGCAAACCTGAAGGCGAAGAATACCAAACACATCCAAAGTCGTGCCGTTCTTCACCAAATTCAAAAAATTCTCTTCTCTCTGAAGACGAAGAATAACAAGCACATCCAAAGACGTGCCGTTCTTCCTCAAATTCAACAAAGGACACAAAAATTCTGCATTCAGAGATCCAGAATTCCAAAGAGAAATACAGAAGCTCTCATCCCTTACATCCAAATCCAAAGGCGAAGAACACCAAGCACATCAAATCGTGTCGTTCTTCATCAAATTCCACGGTGATCAACAACAAGCACATCAAATCGTGCCGTTCCTCACCCAAATTCCAAGACGATTCATGAGCAAGCTAAAACTGTTTGATGTGCTCCTGATTTCCGTACACAATTTTTTAAACTTGACAAGAAACACTTGCATTTGTCCTAGTAGGGACTTCAACACTCAACGCTTACTTTGGGAGGTTTAGAAGATACCAATAGACTACATTGTTCGGTAGATTAAAGAAAATCAATATGAATTTACTAAAACTACCAAGAGTAGTAACTTTGATAGTGTCTCTCCCAAAATGGAAGGTAAGGTCTGTAAGGATTCAAATTTCCATAAGAACCTATGAGCGTTTGAGTTTTATGTTAAGTAAAAAAATTACACGAAAGGTGAAAATAAAGGTTACTAAAAGCATTAACTTGAGTGACATTTCTTGCCACTTTCCAAGGGGAAGTTGCAAAACTTGATTCCCGTTGGGAGTTGGGACACTTAGGTCTGTCCCACCCAGAAAAGACAAAAGAATAATAAAATTAATGAAATTGTAAAACACCAAAACAAAATTAAACCACATTATTTCTAATGTGGTAAAATGCAACAGCAGAAATAATATTTTGAAAAAATTGAAAACAGTAAGATTTGTACATTTTCATCGGTTCATTTTCCAAAAAAGGCTGAGCTGCCAACTCTTTTTCTAGAAGGTTGACTGCACTCAGATACCGACTCCAGCTTTGGTGGATCAGTGTTCACTGGCTGCAAATATGTGTTAGCATTGAGACCCTCAAAGTACTCGGGCCAATCCTTAAACCTCCTGAAATAAAACCCTTAACACTTCTGAGTTCCTAGATGGAAAATCCATCATTAAAGCTCCAAAATAAAATATATCTAACACAAACTATACAAAGCCATTGACAGAAAAGTCTTATATCATGGGACTTCACCTCACATACTAGGGAAATAAGAGTTATAGAAAAATGGAAGTGCATATAAGATATTTATTACTAATTGACTTTTTTTCCAGGGTATTACTAAATGACTCATAGCGATAGAACAACCATAATTTATATAAAATTGCTCTGTGTCTTTAGCTCTTAGCATCGTAATATCATTTTAAAATAGATTGTAGATTGCTTAATGTTTTATCTCCGGTAATACTTGTGTGTCTTTAATTCAAGTGCATAAATTTTGTCACATTTTCATAAGGGGTTGAAAAATTCACCATACCATAGCGACATGTCCTTCAACTCCGACACCACCGACTCCTTTGCTAATATTGAAGTTTCTTAAAGACCGGCATGACTACAATAGCTCCTCCACACCGCTGCTGCCATGGGCAAAGATGGATGAGAGAGAAAGTAGAGATGGAATGAAGAGGAAGAGATGGAGGGATTACCCGTCCAGCCATGTCAGATTCCATGTAGTCGGTTTTGAAGTCGATGAACAGTACTAGTCATCAAAAATAGCATTATATATATATATATATATATATATATATATATATATATATATATATATATTTTATTCCTTAACTGTTGTAGGGTCAATTTTGTCTTTTTAAAATTTTGGACCCCTCACGTGATATGCATGCCTTCATTTCTGTCAAATTTCTAACGGCAGACCTAACATTTGCAACAAATAAAATAGTTTAGGGGGTTAAATGTCTTCCGAATAGTTCAGGGGAATTTATTGAGAAAGAGAAGAAAGTTTAGGGGAGTTTAGTGCACTTTATCCTAAAGTATATCTAACACAAACTATACAAGCCATTGGCAGAAAAGTCTTATATTATTGGGACTTCACCTCACATACTAGGGAAATAGATTTATAGAAAAAGGGAAGTGCATATAAGATATTTATTACTAAATTGACTTTTTTTCCAGGGTATTACTAAATGACTCATAACTGTAGAACAACCATAATTTATATAAAATTGCTCTAGGTGTCTTTAGCTCTTAGCCTCGCAATATCATTTTAAAATAGATTGTCGATTGCCTCATGCTTTATCTCCGGTAATACTTGTATGTCTTTAATTCAAAAATTCACCATACCATAGCTGATAGAATATCATAAAGAAGCCATGAAAATAAGGAACTGATAATCAACAGAAAGAATGGAAAATACTTGCTGGGAGTCAAGTATATATTTTGCCTGACAGAGGCCCTCCATATTCAAGGGGCAGACATATATCAACACTCAACGTGACAGGATCCATGCTATCAGAAATTTTCACAGTGATGATGGTAACATATTGAATTTCAATCTGTGTTCCATTGTTGGTGGCTCAAGTACCTTTCCTTTGTAAGTTCTCATATAACCATTTTAAATTAATTGGAGAATCGCTTGATTTGTCGCAAGTCCTTTATCCTTAAAACCGCGTTCCTCTATTCTTTAAGCTCAATCCTCCTTGAGTAAAGTAATCATGTTTTCTCACATAAAAAGTAGACTTAAGATGAAGTTGGCTTGTCAAAATGGACAAGCTTCAGTTCACTATAGCCTGACCAATGGGCTCGTACTACATCGTTGCTCAAGTTTAAGGAGGGTTTCAATGAACATCTAGATGTTTCAAAAGCATAATTGTTTCTCTCAAAATTGTCTGTTACAAAAGGTCAATACAATCAAAATAGGATGTAAATGATTGAAAAAAACATTTAATTACTCTCTCTCTCCATCTCCCTCCCTCTCTCTGTCTCTCTTTCACACACACACATTCATTTCAAGTGTTAGCCAAGAAAAAGTAGAATTAAGGGTATGGTGCATGTGGGATGATGTATATTTTTAATGTGAAAGTAAAATAAAATGAGGAAAAAGGCTGAAGAAAGAAAAATGAAGAAAGAGAGAGAAATTAAACTTAGTTGAACAGTCATGGAATCCGCATCCATCCATCACTTTGCGCAAAGTAGTTAAAAAAAGTCCCTGAATTGCATATTAGAGAATCCTTTTGACGTCTACTTCTACAGTCTACTTCCCAAATTGGACTTACTATCAAAACCAAATCACATTTCCGCATAAACTGAGTTGTACCATAACTATAAATAAATAAACAAATGCCATGTCTTTGTTAAATTTGAAAAACTCACCATACCGTAAGTCATGAAACTAATGAAAGGATAAGCAACAGAAAGAATGGAAAATACTTACCGGGAGTCCCAAAAAAGTGATTGTACATTTGCCTGACCGAGGCCCTCCGTATTCAAGGGGTAGAAGTCTGCACTCACTTCTGCACTCACCGTTACAGGATCCATGCTGTCAGAAACTTTCAAGATCATGATGGTAACATGTTGAACATTAGGGGGCACCCTTTTTATTTCAGTCCTCGCAACACAAAATATTTTGTTTCCCAAATGAACAAGACTTGAGGTGTATAACCCATACAGATCAAATGGTATCTGTGGAGAGTCCGTATCAACAATTTTCACTGGAGTACCAAGAGATTTAATGGTACGATCATCATCATCTCCAGTGGAAAATGTAACGTGGTATGCAATCAATAAACAATTCTCCACCAAAGTGTATACGAAATCATCAACAAATAGAGACTTTCCAAGGAAGGCATAATATCTCACATCCCTGTCTTCCTTTTCAACGACCTGCCACTTCTCCATTGAACTCCCCATTTTGTAACAATGGAATTCAGTTGAGCTACTAGAAGTTGCATCTACAGAAATGAGAATAATGTCATTGATGACTGCATAACCTACGACAGCCATGCTTTTCTTCTCCACACGGTACTCGGGTAGGATAGAATCCCACTTCCGATGAATAGGATCAAAACGTTCAAATGAGGGAGATTTTATGCGGAAGCCAGAACACAGGGTATCTGTAGAAAGCACATAAAAACTTCCACCCACTGCCATCACTTTGGGAAAGGGTTTTTTTGCTTGTGGCTTTGGCAACTTATCGAGCTGTTTGGTAACTGTATCGAAAAGGAGGGGTTCGAAGGAGATCATTTTGCGTATATACTCTCCGGACAGCTCACATGAAGCCGCCAAGCATATTTGCGATCCTACCATATCACAATCAACCAGTGAATAATGGTCCTCTTCAGAGCAACTAAACGCTTTCACCAGAGAACCATCAATTTTAATTTCCCCTCCACCACCAAATTTGATTTCATAAATTGCAGCACAGTGTAGGAAATCATCAAAACTCGCAACCATAAACAAACTTCTGGGCGATGTGGGATTGTGCACCCGTAGAACTGTGGTAGCCTAACAATGTCTCGCACCTGCCCACAAAATCATCTCCCACACCCGTAGAAGTGAGTGTGGTAGCCTAACGGTGTCGCGCACCCGCCCACAAAATCATCGGAGATCCGGTCTTCAGAGTGTTTACTCCTCCCTTTACGCTGATTATTGCAAACCACATAACATAGTGAGGACAGTCAGTATAAATTAATAAAATTGAATTGAACACAAACCTGATAAATTAGGTAAAACAAATAAGGAGAAAACAACTCCTCTCTTTACACTGATTATTTCAAACCACACAACATAGTGAGGACAAGCCGTATATATTACAATAATAATTGAATTGAACACCAACATGATAAATTTGGTAAAACGAATAAGGAGAAAACAACCAAGCAAACGTACAATAATAATCACACATAATAATTTAGCGGAGAAAATGACGATTAAGAGAAAAGAAGCTTTATGATTATTATTATATGGGAAAGATTCAATTTTTTTCAAATTGCTTAAAGGGAAAAAAAATATTTACCTTCCTAAGTGCAAATTTGGAGTTCAGTCATCTTTGTTTCATTGTGTAAGCAAAAACCCTTTAGCCAAGTCTTCAACTTTGTAAAAACTTCGAACACCCACTGAGGAATTGCTCAAAAAGTTACTGTCAATCTACGATAAGAATATACGAGACAGAAAGTATGTGTGTGTGTGTAACTAAGCAGATCTTGTCACCTAAGGCGATAGCGGAGGCTGCGCGGAGTGTCGAAGCAGATTGTTGGCACGAAGGAATATATAGAACTTGGACGATGGAACGATGGTAAATACACACCAATTTGTTTCACGGCTTAGAGAAAGAATAAATAAAAATTAACCAGCCCAACATGAGTGGGCTTAGCCCATCAGTTTTGCAACCGGGTTTGATTAGTCTTAGAAATTATAAATTAAAGCCCAACTCTAAGAAAATTTGAGATAAGACCCCCCTAAAGCTTAATAAAAAGAATCCCTAACTTTATTATTTTTATGTTTTTTAAGACTTATTTTTCATCTAATTATTATTATTAGGGTAAATTGCAACACTGTTTGGATAATGATAATCCTAAGTTTGCAAAATTAAACAATCACGTGAATCACCCCAACTACCTTTGACACAAGGTAAAAATACTTTATTACCCTTTGACTTCTGAATGATTTACCAATTGAACCATTGAAATGTTGATTTACTCATTTAATTTTTTAACTATTTTTAATATACCAAACTAACATCTTCATCACCATACATAATATATAATGTGCTTATTGAATTGGATCAAATCAAATTAGATTCACGTATTTATAGATTATTTGTTGACGCCTAATACTTTCTAATGCAAATTAAAATCCGATTAATTTCAAATCTCTACTGTGCTGCGAAGAGTCAATTAATTTCAAATTTTCAATTCACTATTTGTCTTTTCATTCAAGGAGGACAAAATTGAATGTAAAATAGATTATTTTATTAGTATTACTTTGAATAAATTATGGTCATATGGGCGGGCTTGGCTTCAGTTAGTACATCCTATGGTTTGGGCCTTGGCTGGCTGGTATAATATAGGCTTCAGTTCACATCATGTCAGGCTTTCATAATTGCAAGTATAAAGAGCCCTGTCCTTCCCAATGTTCACCCCTAAATGAGGCGTATATAAGGGGTTGGAAATGAATCATTTCATCTGCTGTTCACTGGCAAAATGAATTGAAATCTAACAATTGTTAGATTCTGAGTCATACAAATTTATGTTTATATAGTTTTATATTTATATAAATTGATCTGTTAAATAATTCATTGAAAATGTTGTATTTCTCTTATATATAATATAATATAATACTCCATATTATTATAATATAAAAGTATTACACTTTTAATATTCAATGTCACTTTTTGATAGGTGACAAATGAATTTAAAAAGAGGTATAATAAATAAATACCGAACAATCTGTAATTTTGCCTAACTCACAAAAAAGATGAATACTCGTCTAATTTACCAATATTAAATAAATAAAATAACAAACATAATTCTTACAAAACTGGATTCAGTAAATTTTTATTTTTGGAATCTTGGAGTGGGGATCAAGGAAGTAGTAACAAAGAGAGTCAAGAATTCAAAAAGTGAATTGTTGTACGAGAGAAAAACGGCATTTGGTCCCACAAAGTGATTGGATCGGAATGAATCGCCTGCAAATGGAATTCGCATGCTCTGTCTTTTCCGGAAACGATATTCCGTAGGCACATTGAGTGTCCACGTGGCACCACTCTCTGCGTGACACGTCGACATTGCTTCTCTGAACAGTTAGCCGTCCCTCTCACAGACGAACTGAGACAAGTCGGCGTGTGCCGGCAGGTTGTACTGTCGGCTCTGTCGGCGCGTGTTTTACCGTGCCCACTAAAAACCCCTTAAGGGTTAAAGCCGAACTAGTTTTTTTTGTGTTTTGAAACCAGAACCGTTGGATATTCCGGCTTCTTCCTGAACCGTTCGAGCTTTAACGAGGCTTTCAGGGTTTGCTGCATTATGTATATGGCATCTCTGCTGACCTGATCATTGGCATTGGTCCCGAAAAAAGTTGTTTCTTCATGGGAAATTAGGAAACTGTACGGTCTTGGTGCAAAAGTCTTTATCACCCTTGATAGTTGTCAATATTTACTGTTCCATGTCCCTATCTAAGTTAAGTACACCCATACTCTCCTTGGCAAACTAGATTTGGAACTACTCCGTAGGTTTTAAAATTTTCAAAAATAAAAAAAATAAAAAAATTGTAATAAAAGTAATGCCAAAATTTAGAATAAATGTAATAGTAACATCTTCCACAAATTTTTTAATTGCGCCGTTGAGGAAATTATTTTATTATGCAATTGTTGATGCGAAAATTCTCGCAACTCAGAACGACGGCGTTTACCAACAAAACAAAAGAACGTTATCTAGAATGGCACCGGTGGAGTGCCAACCGAGAACCCTCCGACGATCAAGTTAGTACTTGTAATTGTATCACATAATAATTATGCATATTCTCTTTAGGAATTTTTTCTCGTACCTTCTTTAAAGGCTTGGTGCCATATTTATAGCTGTCGATGGGAATCAAATTGGTCTAGCAGGAGATCCGTTTGTTGCCAGATTTGTCGAGGATATAATTTACTCCTTTAACTTTTTACCAAGGTTATCCTTACCTTGTTGAACTACGTCGTCTTTCATTATCCTGGATAAGAAATGCCATCATTTTTATCCGATGAAAATCCTTATATTTAATAACGAAATATTATCGTTCTAAAGTCGAAGAGATCTGGCAGCTGGTCAAGGTAGGTTAGGTTCATTTTTCCCTATCAGTTGCCCTACATTTCCAAACTTGCTAGTCTAGCTTTGGGAATGTGATTTTTTTTTTTTCCGCCCTGGGAACTATTTTTGGTACCTTTGGATACTTTTTCCCCTGGGTACTTTGCCCCCGGGTACTATTTTTAGTACCCTTAGGCACAGTACCTAAGGGTACTCTGCCCCTGGGTATTATTTTTAGTACCATTGGGTACTATTTTTGGTACCCTTGGGTACTCTTCCCCTGAGTATTATTTTTAGTACCATTGGGTACTATTTTTGGTACCCTTGGGTACTCTTCCCCTGATAAGGAAATAAATTGTACGAGCTTTACTCAGTTCGTCACTCATTTAATAAGGAAATTAAATTTTACGAGCTTTACTCAGCTCGTCCCTTTAGTAAGAGATTTTTTATTTACTATTCCTTATTGTAAGAGGATATTGATTACGGGATTCATTCAACCCGGGTCCTTTTAGTACAGGACATTTATTTACTATCCCTTATAGTACAGGGATTTTTATTACAGGATTCATTCAACCTGGGTCTTTTTAGTACAGAACATTTATTTATTATCCCTTATAGTACGAGGATATTGATTACGGGATTCATTCAGCC